AAAAATAAATAAGATAATACATATATGAAATACTAATATAATAATAAAATAATAATAATAAAATACGTTGTAATAAATATATATAATTATATAAAAAAATAAAGAAATAGGATCAACAACAGTTGTAGTTCACTCTACTAACTTATTGTATAACAAGATTATTGTATTATCAAAGGTTGAATCAAAAATATAAGTTATTATGTAACTAAAAATATCACATAAAGTTCTATTGACGTGGTAGATACACAAAGATATTTACTTTACATATATGCTGATAAATCATATTATTTTAATGATGAGAGAATTTATATTTCTGAAATCTAATGTATTATCTATTTATAGTTTGATAGTATCTTTGAAGGAATTAATAATCTTTACAATATGGGAGCAATAAGAACTGATAAGAAAAAGTCACTTAGTTCAGATCAAATCGTAAATAATGTAAATGAACTAAAAAGAAAACTTGATAAAGATATATCTCCTCTTTACCAATGTTTATGCTCTGATGTGAATAAGATCTCAGTTCAAGAATTAACTTGAAAACAACTTTTAGCTAACCAAGTTATTAGAAATAATTCAGACCTTGTTTAAGAATTACTGGGAAATTTAAAAAATACATTTATGATATATATTTATACTTGCTTTGCAGTCACATAGTACCTAATCTGTATATATTAATAAATTAATAAAGCTAATATTTGCTTATATGTGTTGAAAACATTATGCTCTGCATATTAGAAACAAGTAAAATTAATGAAACTTCCTCCTATACCAAGAGTCAAAAATATATATAGAAGGTTTGTATTGAATTTTTTATTTGAGAATTTATCAAAGTTTACCATATGAGTTATCACATGCAAAAGACTAAAAAGAAAGTGTGGATAAACTTGAAGAAATTACATTAAAAATTTTGAAAACCTTAAGATCTGTTTGGTGCAATCTGGCTTTTCATTCTGAGTTTGTTACTACAATAAATGAAGATACCTATGTAAATAATATAATTGTACCATTAATTAATGCCTGCTTATTTAATAATCATTTTGAAGAGTCAGCATTTATTACCACGTAAGTTATAGTAAAATTGATCAGAGAAATGTATTGTTGATTTATTTATATTTTTAGTTTTGAACAGCAGAGTGTAGCAAGTGCTGATAGAAGAGAGGATGGGAAAGTAAAAAGATGGCCCGATATTATGTTTATAAGCAAGAAAGATGATAAATATTATGGATTAATGTATGCGGAGTGTTCCAGGATTATCTGTACAAAACAAAAAGAATGATCCTTCCATTTTAGCCGATTTCATATAATTTTTCTGCAATATGTTAATAGTTAATATGTCAGTGCACATGATCGCAGATCAAATGGAAATTTAGATAGTAACATCCCCATCCCATATTTTATCCCGTATTTTTATCATATATTTTTCATGTATTTTATTAATGCATTATTTTTCCGGTTAGAATGAGTGTCTCTGACACATGTATCAATTTTTTTTTTTCATGTGATGTATATAACTAATAATTTTCGGAATAATTTATCAAACCCGATATGAGAAAATAAGTGCCAATATAACGAATTTATTTATTTATTGTACTTACTATGGAAGCATAATAAAACAAGGCTTAAAACCTTGGGCAAATTTTATTAAAACTCAGTAAACATATTATTGATTTACAATTCGATGTGAAAAAAATTTGGTTTGCTCACAATTATGCGATCAACATTATTTTGAGATAAATTTAATCTAAGTGAATGTGACCGTCTTGCCGTCTCTCTCAAACCAGCCTCGAAATATCCAGTGGCAGAAGCCACCATCGCCTAGCAAAGTAAACACAGTGTTGTAACCTCTTCCTATAACATATACGTCTGTTCTGCGTGTATGTCCAAATATACTCACTGGTTGTTCGTAGCGGAAGTGTTTGTGCTGACCATTAATTGTATGATTTTTATTTGTAACAAGAACGCTACATAATGGGAAGGATGTTTCAAAATGCTTTAAGAGATTCTTCAAGTATTCTTCCTGGTCGATTATGTCAGATGAACATATGCAGCTACTAGCTAATTCATTCGTTTTGTTTCTAACTGCATCTGCAAAGTCTATGCCTTCACGCGGATCGAATTCCATAGTAACACCACCACTTGTTATAACTTTCATAACTCTTCTCCGAACTGCAAATTATGCTTTCATTAGAATAGAAGCTCCTACGGTAAATATGTCTGTTATAAAAAATATGTAATAAATAAAAAACATACTTATTTCGTTTGCTTGACAGGGTTGTATCGGTTCAGTTGGTTCGATTTGGTTTAAAAATCAACAAGAAAAATTGCGAAATTTAGAAAGAGATATAACACGGCAAATTTTATATACGTTTGACCTGGCTTTATTTTTATATCGTTAAAAAATCTGGTTTTTGACACATTCGTCTAGAGAAGCGGAGTTCGGTGTGTTCAATCCTTGGATGCGTTACACTGTCAGTTATAGGAATTTTAAACCCATGATACTATCTATCTACGCCAAGATTCATTTTCAGTTGCGCTATCGCTGTCAATTATAGGAATTTTAAACCCATGATACTATTTGTCAATCATCATCTGCAGTCAGAAATAATGTTGTTTTTTTTGGCTAAAGTTTCCGAACGCAATCAAGGCATGAATATCTGGTTGACAATCTTCAATCTTACACTGTCAGGAATTTTAAACCCATGATACTATTTGTACTGGGCCAAGAATCATCATCTGCAGTCAGAAATAATGTTGTTTTTTTGGCTAAAGTTTCCGAACGCGCAATTAAGGCATGAATATTTGGTTGACAATCTTCAATCTTACACTGTCAGAAATTTTAAACCCATGATACTATCTATCTAAGCCAAGATTCATTTTCAGTCGCCAATTATAGGAATTTTATACCCATGATACTGTTTGTACTAGGCCAAGAATCAGTTTATTATTCATCTGCAATCAGAAATAATGTTGTTTTTTTTGGCTAAAGTTTCCGAACGCGCAATTAAGGCATGAATATTTGGCTGAAATCATTTCCATGAATCAACTTCTGGGCTTGCAAACTAATGACTATTTTTTCGTACAGATTTATTAGTATCACGGAAGGCAGGAAACATAAACTTTCAGCGGGTTTTTCCCCAGGCTCGAAAAAGATAAATTAGTTTACTGCCAGATAATAACGAATAAATTGGCGAGATTTTTAATTCATTTTTGACACTACATATTTCGTGTAGGTATAGTATAGAAACAATAGGTAGATTTTTTATTCTTTTCGATTTTATTACAATCAATAAAGTGCGTTAACGCGATTCTACACCTATATTTTTTTTTCATGCGATTAAACTTGCAAATACACAGGACCAAAGGGGCGAATCTAAAGATTCATCTGAAATTGATTTATTAGAAGAACAGATTTCTAAGCGAATACCGAAATTAAAAAGAAGTATATTGAGGTCAAGGCTGAGAATGTGAAGCTAAGGCAGGCGATAGAAGAAAATACAAAGCGCGATGCTAGAGTTGAGGAACTAGAGCAAAAGAATATAGAGCTTGAGACCAGACACACTATATTAGAACAGGGAGAAAAGAAAAAAGTATTTCTACGGAAGATGTTTCGCACTCTCCAGTAAATTCTAACGATACTCCTAAACAGATAGTGCCACAATGTGGTGATACCCGACATCTGATATAACTGATAACACTTTAGATTCTGATACTCCTGAACAAATAGAAAATATATCCGATAACACATCTAATTCTAATATCCAAGAATCGGAAACCCGATGCTCTACATCTTCTATCTACGCAGAATCTATATCGCCGGAAGATAAGGAGATTGTTGAATTTCTGGAATTACAAAATAAGGAAAGAATTAGTAACTTTATGAGAGAGAAGAACCGAAAAAGGAACCAAGACAATTTGTGGAGCTTATATCTGAGGATAATAATTCATCAGAGCGATCGAATTTATCCTGTGACATAAAAACCGTTACAAATGGTAACGATCAAAATTCTGTACCATCATGCAATACTACTGGTAACTATCAAAACTTGGAATTATTATATGATACAAAAACTGTTAATATCGGTAATGATGCGGAGTTATATTCTGATTCATCAGATGAAATACCTGGTCTTGATAGAAATCAAGTTACTGAACAAACTTTGAAACGAGATCTTATTAAATCTACTGCTATGGCGGAATCCAATGAACACTACCCGAAGAAAGTAATTGAGGATTCTACACAAAGTTTAACTTATTGGTTTGAAAAGGCTATTAAATCTGGCCTAAAAGAAATCCTATGCTGGTATCATTATTCCTTTGAAATTGAAAATAAAGTTAAAAACATTACGGCAGATGGGAAGATTAAGGATAAGACAGCAAGATCAATGATATATAAAGAAATGTTACAATATCTACCTAATGTTACTTGTGGATTCGAACCAATAGAGCTAAAAAAATCTCAAGCTATTTGGAGAAAAGGGTGTTGGAATCAATAAAATTAAGCTAGTCACCTGTAGTGCAAGTGATATTTCAAGACTAACTAATGTTCAAATTCAGAATATTGTGGGTCATGTGAATTCAAAAACCATTACCATTTGTAACGATCAAACCAAGAAAATTTTACCAGAAACCTCGGTAAGTGCATTACCTTCAGCACAGAAAGAATGATTGCTCTCACGTTATTTATAAGGTATTGGAGCAGTATCCTAACATATCTTTGCGAGATAGTGATAATTATTTTAATATCTACGTAATCAGCAAAGGCATAAAATTTATAAAATTTAGATCATGCATTTATATATCATTTTATGAACGAAATTTTAGCTAATTCATAGTTAACGCTTAATACAGTATTTAAATGATTTACATTTCTACCAAAAAAAAATAAAACCCAGTATTCAAGCAAAAATTCGTATTTTTTCTGAATTTTCACATGTATATGTAAACGTAACATGAGGAACGGGAGTATCATTTCTACTGAAATAAAAAATAAAACATAGTTTTTGGCCAAATGTCAATTTTATGACTTGAAGAGTTGTCCCTAAAGACCTGATATATATTTTTTTAATGAGAACATGACACTAGTGTCATGGTTACATGATACGCAGTAATTAGACTATACATGTTTTCAAAATTGATTTTTGATTTTTGAGATATTTCGACTTTTTGAGATTTATGCAGAATCCATTCTATATATGGAAGTAAAAAAAGTATCCAGTTATATGTATATTCAATCAAAGAATAAATCTGGATGGTTAAAAAATTTTGGATTTTAAGTAAAATAATTTTGTCTTCTATGAAAAACTATTTTGACTTTTTTTTTCAAAATTGCAATTTCGGGCTCCCAAAATAATTTTGCATGCAAGTATAAATTAGATGGTATGGTTTACTTTGATTTTTTCATAATGTTAAGTATTATATGATCAATATTTTCCTAACTTAATTTGAAAATGGATGATGCAGTAACAGATCTGATTCTACTTTACCGATAGTATCAAAAAAAAAATAAATTTTCTGGGCTCTTTTTATTTTTTTGCACAATGCATTATTACTTATCTTTTTGATCCCAATCTTATCATTTACTAAAATCTGAGAAACTTGTTTTTTGTGAATTTTTTATGGTGCTTGAGGCATTTTGAACAGTTTTTTATTATTATCTTCAGCTTTTACAACTTGACAATACAGATTGAAAAAATCAACTAGATCAGAATTATTTTCAGTAGTAGATACTGAACTTAATTATGTGATAATATTTTTCAGAGAATAAACAGAACCCAGAGTCTTCAACTTATCCAAGTCTTCAGTAGACAATTCATCAATTATTTTTTTTAAACTCAATAGCTTTTTTTTCTATTATCCTTACGTAATCTTTTTTTATGTTTAGGCATATTACTTTTGGTCTGCTTCATATAGTTTGAATTATACTTGCACACAAAATTATTTTGGAGCCCCGAAATTGCAATTTTGAGAAAAAAAGTTAAAATAGTTTTTCATAGAAGACAAAATTATTTTACTTAAAACCCAAAATTTTTTGATTATCCAGATTTATTCTATGATTGAATATACATATAACTGGATATTTTTTTTACTTCCATATATAGAATAGATTCTGCATAAATTTCAAAAAGTTGAAATATCTCAAAAATCCAAAATCAATTTTAAGAACATGTATAGTTTGAATACAATAAAAGATGTGAATTAGAAGTATGAAATACTACCATTTCTGAAGTAATTTTATCTCAGTTCTGACCATATACTATTGAAATGAAATTTATATTAGGATACTCACACTATCTTTAAATGAAAAAGGTGGTAGTTCTAATTATATTTGCATACAAAATTATTTTGAGACTCCAAAATTGTAATTTTTGAAGAAAAAAGTTAAAATAGTTTTTCATAGAAAATAAAATTATTTTATTTAAAACCTGAAATTTTTTGTTTATCCAGATTTATTTTTTGATTAAAGATATATATAACTGGATACTTTTTTTACTTCTATATATAGAATAGATTTTGCATAAATCTCAAAAAGTTGAAATACCTCAAAAATCCAAAATCAATTTTAAGAACATGTATAGTTTTAATACTTCTATATCTTCAAACCCCAATTCAAAAGATTTAAAATAATTATTAACAAGACAAATTTCTATATTTCTGTTAATAATACTTTTTTAAGACATGCATAATGGAATATATATTCACATGATAGAATAATAAATGGTTGTTTTATTAAACTCAAAAATAATTCTTTATTATATAATGTATATGAGTTATACATGCCACCCAAATTATTTGAGCTTCAAAGGTCAAAAAAGTTCAAAGCCCAAAATATTTTTAACAGTTTAAATTATTTTTGACAGCCTAAATTATTTTTGGTAATCTAAAATATTTTTGGCAGCTCAAAATATTTTTGGTAGCAGAAAAAATATTTGAAACCAATTACTTATTTAAAATTTGTGACACAATAGATCTAATAATCATTTTTTATTAAATTTTTTTTTTTTAATCTTTACTTTTTTTTTTTAAAAAAAAAAAAATAAAACTAAATTTATATATCCTTTGCTTTAATAATATCCTTAATATACTACCTTTCTTCTTCTTACCTTTTGCTGGTTCGTGGGGATACCATGAGATCAAAATGGCTTTGAAATAGGTTTCACAAACTTGGAGGGACGTATGACGAAATGGTGAGTTTTTTTTTTTAATTATTTTTTTTTAAAAAAAAATATAAATAAGTGAATAAATAACTTATACTTATCTTGTCCTCTTTCTCCTTTTCACCTTTAGCTGGTTCATGGGAACACCGTGGGATCGAAATGGATTTCGAAATGGATATTACAGTTTAGAAGACATATAACAAAATGGTGAGTTTTTTTTTTAATTATTTTTTTTTTAAAAAATAAATAAATAAATAAATAAATAACTTATATTTACCTTGTCTTTTCTTATATTCACCTTTAGCTGGTTCGTAGGAATATCGTAAAGTTGAAATGGGCTTCACAGGTTTAAGAGACATATAGCAAAATGATGAGTTTTTTTTTAATTATTTTTTTTTTAAAAAAATAAATAAATGAATAAATAACTTATATTTACCTTGCCCTCTTTCTTCTTTTCACCTTTAACTAATTCATGAAGATACCATGAGGTCAAAATAGACTTCGAAATTGGCATCACGACTTGAGAACGTATGGTGAAATGGTAAATTTTTTAGTTTTTTAGTTTTTTTTAAAAAAAAAATAAATAAATAAATATCTTATACTTACCTTGCCCTCTTTTTTCTTTTCATCTTTAACTGGTTCATGGAAACACAATGAGATCAAAATGGATTTCGCAAGCTTAGAGGGACGTATGGTGAAATCGTGAGTTTTTTTTTTAGTTATTTTTTTTTAAAAAATAAATAAATAAATAAATAACTTATACTTATCTTGCCTTTTTTTTTCTTTTCATCTTTAGCTGATTTGTGGGAATACTATGAGGTCAAAATGGATTTTGAAATGAGTTTCGCGAGCTTGGAGGGACGTATAATGAAATGGTGAGTTTTTTTTTTTGTTATTTTTTTTTATTAAAAAATATATAAATAAATAACTTATACTTACCTTGAGTGAAAATAACATAATTATGTTATTTCTACTTAGTCTAGGTTATTTCCACTTCAAAATGACATAAGGTTTGTGTTTGCCTCGTCACTCGAATAACGTGAGGTTTGTGTTTGCCTCGTCACTCAAATGACGTGAGGTTTGTGTTTACTTCGTCACTCGAACTATCATATATCAAGTTGACAATCTGGCTGATTTCTATTATCAGATCACATATGACACAATGTATATCAATTTGGTGATCGCAGTTGGTTTTAAAACTAAGGAGCTCCCCGAAGTAGGTTATGCCCCTCAACAGGTGACTACTCTGTATAATGTTTTATAGCTTCTAGATTTTTAAATTCATTATCAAAAATTGTATAGTATATACTGTCTATGTTTGATTTTGAATGTAAGGAGCCTCCTGAGGTAGGTTATACTGGGAAAGAATCAGCTGTAGGTTATTCCCGGTCAAATACGTGGTCTGATGACAAAAGTTAGTCATCGTCGTTACACCTGTATATTAATTTGGTGATTCTGACTGATTTCTATTACAATAAAATATCTGAGGTAGGTTATACTACTCAGATTAACCCCATTGCGAGTTTAATGGGTCGAATGCATTTTATACGTAATTTGATACCATATGCTAGCTTATCATTCCCAACCAATTTCCATTGCAATAAAATATCTGAGATAGGTTATGCTACTCAAGTTGGCACACTGGTCAAAATCTGGCATATCGGATACCTATCAGGCACTTATCATGGTACCTGATAGGTACCCGATATACATTTTTTGACATATATCAGGTACCCGATAAGTGTCGTCTTATTCCCTAATATTGGACACTTATCGGAGACTTATTGGTCACATATACTACATATATCGGACACCTATTTTTCAGCTATTTTTTTTATATCAATCGGGTACCCAATTTTTTTATTCAATATCGGGGACTTATCAGTGATATATTTTCCCTTCTGATAGGTGTCTGATATTTTTTTATTACATCTATCGGGTTCTCTGATACTTTTATTTATTACATCTATCAGGTACCCGATAAGTGTAATAGTCATATTGTATTTGAATACTTTTTCCAAATAAATCATACAAATTAATAGCTTTATTTATTACTGCACAAATTTTATACAATTTTATATAA